AAGCGAGTGATTCGTTCTGACTTAACGAAAGAAGGTGAAAAAGCCAGTTTAGAAGTATTTTCATCAAATTTAAAGTATTTACTCCTGACTCCGCCAATTCATAATGTTACAGTTTGTGCCATTGACCCCGGTTTCAGTAATGGCTGTAAAATAGCTGTGTTAAATGCAAAACAAGAAGTTCTTACTACAGATATTTTGTTTTTAAATAATGCCCACCATTTTTCATATAACGATTGTAAACTTGTTAGACTGATGACAGAATTTAATGTGGATTTGCTTGCTGTGGGTAATGGAAAAGGGTGTAGGGATGTTGAGTCATGTTTAAGTAAACTAGTTGACAATAACTTTTTGCATAAAAACTTCAAACATATTGTAATAAATGAAAGAGGGGTGTCAGTTTACAGCTGTAGCCCTGAAGCTAAAGAAGAATATCCTAATTATTCGCCCAATGTAATTAGTGCTATATCTTTGGCTAAACGTGTATTGGATCCATTATGTGAAATGGTTAAGGTTGACCCTAAACATTTAGGTGTTGGTATGTATCAGCATGACATAAGTGAAAAAAAGCTAGAGTCAGAATTAGATGAAGTGGTATCAGAGTGTGTTAGTAACGTAGGAATAGATATTAACAATGCTCCTCTGAGAATCCTTAAAAGAGTGGCTGGTTTAACTGATAGCAGGGCAAAGGCTATAATTGAAACTAGAGACAAAAAAGGATCATTTGTTAACAGAGATGAACTGAAAAGTGTTAAAGGAATAGGACCCAAAACATTTCAACAATGTGCTGGATTTATAAAAATTATTCCTGCTACTCTTATTGCTAAAAAGGAAGGAAAGTCTAAAGTGCAAACTAATAAATTGGATCAAACTATTATTCATCCTGAAGATTATAACACAGTAAAGAAAATTTTAGCAATGAATGGTCTGAAACCTGATGATGTTGGTAGTTCAGAATTAATTAATAAATTAACAGAGTTCATGAGAACACAAAATCTTCCATTAATTGCTAAAGATATTGGGATTCCATTAGAAACTCTTAGGTTAATTTTGGAAACACTTACAAAACCAATAGACTATGATATACGTTCAAAATTAGACAAGCCTATCTTTAGAAGTGGTGCTAAAACCATTAACGATTTGCAACAGAATACTGTACTTCCTGGCCAAGTTGAAAATGTAACTCACTTTGGTGCATTTGTTGATATTGGTATTGAGTGTTGTGGTCTGATACCAACAATTTTTTGTCAAGGTAAGACCTTACATTTAGGACAGAAGGTAACAGTTAGAGTTGGTGAAGTTGATGCCAAAAAAATGAGAGTATCCTTACATCTTGTAAAAATAGATTCAAGTGAAGAATAAAGCCTGGATGGATGAAATAATAATACCTGCTGTGTGATTTCTTGCATTACATCATATTTATTAAATCATGTGACTTATTGGTATTTTAAGTTGTTTTTTTGTTTTTTGTAGTGTAAATATGTATCAAATGGAAAGTTTATTTATCTTACCTGGTATATATTGAATAAAATTATATTTATATAAACTTTTCTATTTAAATATAAAATAAACCCAATTTTCTGTTTTACTATAGGTAGTTTTACCTAAATGGCCTAATTTCTTTTGGTGTTACATATACTGATAAATAAACACTGACCCACTTAAGACAAATTCAGCCAATATGGAGTTGCTGGTAAGCTTTCATGGATACAGTATTTTTGATCCCAAAGTCTTTTCTAATTGTACAATAAAAGTCTAAGTAAACCTCAAAAAGTTGATACTGATAACAGTCCTGCCAATATACCACAACCCAATAGGATTAAAACCCATTATCAAGCCCAATCTTAATTATGCAAAACAAATATTTTGTATAGTTAAATTAAAGCCCAAGAAATGTTAGCGAATGTAATATAACACTACTATAGTAAATAGTATATCTAATGATCGCACTCCCAACCAACTTCTTGAATTTTGTAATTATATTTGGACAAAACCTTTCCATGATAAATTGATATGATTTTGTAAATCAAAATAAGACCAATTTTGATCAGTTTCCGAGATTAGTAAGTGTCTTGGAGTCACTCTGAACAATTTGAGATAACTTTTTTTTCTTCAAAAATTTATCTGTGCCTGTCTATGGAACTTTTAACAATCAGCCGATGGTTTGATGAAAATAATAAAACTGACATGGAGAAGGATAGCATCCAGCAGTATCTCTTTCCTGCTTTGAATTAAATACTATGCTTTGTTAAGGAAGAAGATCTCTAATTCAGTGCCTTTTAAGACTCCTCGTATTGATGAGATGTCAGCTTAAGCCATGTCTTTTATTAGTATATGCGTGGAAGACGGGATGGGCAAGTACGTTGGGGCATGGGTCCGAGAGTGCCCGGTTCTAAACGTTGTGGGTTCCATTCCTGCCTGGGTCGGTAGCTTTTCATTTCTTGGCGGTCCCAGGAAATGGAGCGTGACATTCTCAATCTGGTAAGTATCCGGCAGCAACCTTGAGGTTGCAAAAAAGGAGCACAATAGGGCACACTTGCCAGAATAGTAACTCCCACCTGTACCAGTATTATGACCGTGTAGTTATTAGTATAAAATCATTTGTAAAGAGTCCTTATGTGTGTGCAGGCAGGTGGCAATCAGTATGTAAAGTTTTGCTAGTCACGTACCAAGGTGCTTTAGTCATGAATCTTAATAGTTTTTATTGGAAAGTTTAATGTTTTTGAAAGTAGGTCTTTTTAGCTGAACTGCATGCTTTTGAAGATTAGGAAATAAGTGAGTAAAGTAGTTCGAGTCTTCTTTTTAGTTTAACATGTGGGCCCTACGTCAACCGTACTTTTGTTAAAGGTAAGTCTAAGATAGTGTATGGTGTCCGTCTGAGAAATAAGGTTGTTTCCATCTTCTTATTTTTCTTTTTTTATTAGGAAGCTTACGTTTATAATTTTTTCATATTTTAGGCAAAAAAATTGGAAGTTGACAAAATTAAGACAAAATAAAAATATTACTCTAATGATGGGAAAGTTGTCCCGAAACGTAAGAGACAAGCATAAATAAAAAAAATATGAAGAAAATTAGAAGTTTTATTGCCTAAATATGAAAAAAAAAAATGTGGGCAGGTATTCCTTCGCAGCATAAATGTAATGTGTTTTAATTTATTGTGGTTTAGTCAAATTTTCCATAATTTCTACCAGTCTTGTAATTTATCTAAGTGATGACGTAATGTTAGTGAAGCTTGTGAAGGGTCTTGATGTTTTGTGAGAATTGCTGTAATCAGCATAAGTAGCAGTCAATGTCTCATTGTTACTACATATACCTTAAATATAAACAATACAAAGTAGTGGTGCCAGAACTCCCCTCAAAACTAGGTCAATAAAACAAATTGAGTCCTGCTGAACTGAGAAAAATCTCAAAAAGTAAAGATTGAAGAATCAGTAAGCGAATGTGTGGTAGTATGGACTTGAGTTTAAAGAGAAAATCCCCGATGCCAGACTTCGTCAAACACTTCAGTGACATACAAAAATACACCAGTTGCATATAGTTTTTGTACTAAATATCCAACAATTTAGTCTGTAACTCTTGTGTCGAATAGAATGTGTGAAAGCTAAACTGATGGTCAAGCAGTATGTCAACTATTCTTTTGATTGTTAATTTTTCTAAGGGTTGAGAACATATTGGAAGAAGGCCTGTAGGATGAAGGATTGTACATTTCTTTACCTGGTTTGTGAATCATCTTAATGAGTGAGTATTTCCATTGTAATGGAAATTTTTATTTCTTCAAAATACAGTTGTAAATTGTTGTCAGAAATAGTAGAGCTTTCCTAGGTATGTTGGAGTGCTTTGGCTGTAATCTAAAAATAACCAGGGGCTTTTCTTTTAGGATATTGTTTGATTTCTAGTACGACTAGAGATGGTGTGAGCGTAAGAGGTGGTAGTACAAGTTGAAGAGCAATGTCAAGTATTAGGGTCTCATATACCATGATAATAAAATCAGTAAATCATTTTAATACAGCAGAAAGGTGATTAGTATAGAGGGCAGATTTTTCTTCACCCTGCACAATCTGGAACCATCCTCCCTTTGTAGGGGTGCTGACACTCGATGTTTTAGCAGCTTTCGGGAGTTGATTGTTTAGTCGTTTATAAATATTGCAATATACACCTTTATTGGAAGTGGGTAAAAATGATTTAATAAATTAATGTTGAACAATTAAAAGGCAAGCTAATCTAGTTCTACAAGAGCAGGGAAAAGAAAATGGCTGCTCTGTAGTTTCCCAAGAAGGAAAATCCCAAAGAGGAGAGGGACAAAGGTTTTTGTTTAGGCAGGCAGTTGTGTGACTGCAGGGAAGAGAGGTGAAGAGAATATATCCTATCCTGGCTCCAGTGGGTAAAACCTAGTAATAGTTTTACCATCTTAGAAGATCTTGTTTGGCAGGGAGAATAGTTGTTTGTAATTGTAAAAGAGAGGATTTCCCAGAGAGCTCGAGTTGAATGGAAGAATAGTGTTACCATTTTGGGATATGTGTTTGGCAGAACATAAGAAAATGTGTAAAGACAAATGAGTTCAGTGCCACAAAGGAAGAAACATTGTATGTAGAAAAAAGGTTAGCTTGTCAATTCATACTTGACTTTATTTTTAAACCAGTGTTTAATTTAAATATAAATAGTGTAAATAATAATAGTTTGTCTTGGTTAATCTGATTGTCAGTAACCCACACCTGAGATAAATAAATATATTAATACTGTTATAATTTTGTTTTTTATTTAACAACCACTTATTTCTTTTGGAAGTATCCAAAGGGTATACAGTGATCTTCTGAGGTTATATTATTATTATTTTAAAATATAAGAGGGATGTTACAATATATACATACATACATGCTCTCTTCTCTTTGCTTTAACCAATTCATTTATGTATTGAGTATATTTATAAAAATGAAAGGCCATCCATGAAGAAAAATTATTGAATTAGTTGTAAAATGAAAAGTGAAGCCATTGGACTCTATCTACCAACCAGTGGAGGAATGTTCTGAGAGGGCTTGGCACTTGAGAGACAGGTGAATTCCATATGCCAAAGATATGTATGAAAAAAAATGTTTTAGTTTTTTGTCTCTTCTAGTATTTTGTCACAAAACGGCAGTCTAAATTCCTTGACTGGATAATTGATGTCTATGAACCAACATTTTTATATGGTTTATAATCAATAACTATCTTGTTTAACTCATAGCAGTACATTTTATCTGATTTATTTTTCCTGATCTGTGCAATTACAAGCATATTACATACATTGTGGTATTGATACCTACTGGTATTTTTGTGAAAGTGCTAATCTGACTGGAAGAAACAAAATTTGTAGAGATTCTCGGAGGCTGGTTCAAATCACCAAGTAAATCAAGATAAAAAAAATTAAATTAAAATAATGATTAGTAGGATATAACATTGGATAATAAATTAAACCGAAACTAATACATACTATTAAGATAAAAAGTTTTAATGGGTTGAAGAAAACAAATTTTTTTTACAGATTCACAAATTTAACAAAAATGTATTTAAAACATCTTCCTTATATTTATACATAGGTTTTATGTATACTTCAGCGACTTAAAAACAGGCCACTTCAATAATACTGCCAAATTTTAAATAAATCACAATATATAAATGACTAAAATAATATATACAATAAATCATAATGTTTTATTTACAAATGTTCAGCTCAATTATGTCTGACATATTATTTTCTAGTGTCTCAGAGGCTAAGTAATCTATATTTACAAAACTAAAAAAAAAAAAGATAATAAATAGTGATTATTGATACAAAAGAGTTTCTTAAAAAACTAAGAAGAGAGGGAGGGATAATGCATATTAACATTAAATAGGAAATGGGATCTATAAAAGTTAGGGTATAGTTAAAATGATATCTAACCAATAGACATAATAAATATACATTTGTATTATTGCCATTCAACGATATTAACATGTTCTTAATTTTATAACTTTCCAAATAAATTTAGTACATAATTCAGAAATAAAACAAAATATATTTCAACCCTATACAATAATTTTCATTGACTATGAAAATAACTTTTTTTAAAAATCTGTACACTGCAGTCAAAACCAAAACGTTTTTCAACTGCTGAATTCAGTCTCTTTTACAGCATTTCAATTTCTGTAAAACTTTTAACTAAAAAACAATGGTGATTTTCAGAACACCATACATACAATGTAATTTAAACACTAGTATAAAAAAAAGGCACGTTCATATAAGTCCTCGTTTTTTCTTGTAGTCTTCAAGATTCAAAGATCGACGAGGTCCAGTATCTTTCATCATTGTCACTACTTTGGGTGCTAGGCTCACAGGAGCATCTGTAGAAGGATTCGTTCATTATTAATGCAAATACAATTTGTAATTATCACATTTTAAAGTCAATTTCAAATACAGAATATCCTTAAATATGGATCGAGGTTCCTCCACACTAAGAGGTATACGGAGAAAGGAAAAGAATAATACCCAACTTAATATCTGGTAAAAAATCTATTTAGCTTTAGTACAAATCAAAATTTTCATCCATTTAAAGTAAAAATATATGCGTATTTAAAAAATTGTAATAAACTGAGCTGTAAGGATCAATTTATTTCTCAGCATGAAAAAGATATCCTGAATACTTATTAACTGCTGAAATAAAAGGTACAAGATTAAAACAAATCTTTGACTTAATTAAATATTGTTACAAATCTTTCTTCTGAAATATTAATCACAGGACGATAAATAATGTGTTAGATAAAAATTATTTTCAATCCTCTTTCTACGGGTCAGATCAAGGATTTCAGGTAAATTGGCCGAGGTGTCACATTAACAACCTTGAGTCAGAAGTGGTACTAGTTAAAATCCTGTCTGTATGCGTTGAAAATTATTTTATGGCGGATCCAGGTAATGAATTTTGACCTCACTTAACAAGTTGATTATAAAAAAGACAACCTTCCTGCCTTTTCTTATTACTACGGGCCATATTAATCTGTATAGTACTAAAATCAGACACAGAATAACTTACTTTGTAAAGGAACTTCTAGATCAATCTTGATATCGAAATCGTGAGCAGAAAATAAATCATCTGTTTTGACCCCTGATTTATCTTTTTGAGAATTATCATTATCACTATTACGTTGAGATTTTTTGTCATGACGTTCAGGCTGATTAGAAAAAAAGAAATTAGATTAGTAAATTATCTTATACAATTTAAACAACATTAATTAATAAGAATGGTAGAGGTACTTGCCACTATTGGTGGAGGAGGTAAGTCTTCTTCTTCTTTACTAAATGTCATTCGAGGTTTGGTACTACGTCTTGTGAATGGGTCATCTGCTTTCTTTCCTTTGTTGGCTTTAACTTCTTCCTTTAATTTGATACAAAAATATGTTTTTTTAACTGTTCTAATATAATTAAAAATAATACTTAATTTATTGGTTGATTAATTTGTACCAAAAATGAACTGATCATTATCAAAGATATTAAAGCAAACATATTAATAGTTTAAAACTGTCAACAACAAAATAAAATCAGATTGCTATTTAAAAGTATGTTAATACAAATTCATAATATTAAACTATATACATACATTCTTTTTATGTATATGTTTAAATATATATAATTATATCATATTTTATACCACAATTTGATACAATTGTAAAATAATAAAATACAATCTAGTATTAGTAACTCAACCTTGTTGAACAGATTATTGTACGATTATAATAATTTTAAAATTCTAATTTATCTACAAAGAATTCAAATGGCATTACCATGATTGCTTTTTCAGCTTCTTCAACATTCCTTTTTCTATTCCTATTATTAATATATGATATACTTGAAATAGTAGATGTTCTTAATTTATCTAGTTCGTTCGCTCGTTCCTCTAGTTCCACGAGTTTCTGTGAAATTCTACGGACTTCTTCATCATCACCTCTGCAATAGATATGTAATTAAAAATTTTGAAAATTAGTTATATTAATCATTTAAGAAATTTAAACAAACCTCACATTTGGAATGCGAGATGTTTCAACATAGCCTACTAAAACACAGCTGGAGATATAGGGTACTTATATTAATCTGAGTCGTAAAAATCTCCTCTCACAACAAAACAAAGAGATAGTTCATTTAAACAACATAGTAAAAAAAAAATTTTTTTGATAAGGCTTTTGAAAACATTTGAGTGACTATACTAACTTTGGATAAATAAATAAGAGAGAGAATCAAATACAAATGGAATTTTTTTAAAATTCAGTTATTGAAAAATGAAAGGCAATTATAATTTATTTTTCCACTTTAGAAATAAATTTTAGCCAGTGAGAAAGAAGGTTTTTACCACAGCATTGCAGAATGAAGCTAGTTGTTTAAGGAGCCAATTTTACACGAATCACTCCGAGTTCTTGTCATCTTCAAATTATTACTCTCTCAGACTAAAGCTTCTTCAAGCGGTTTAAACAAATATTAATCACAGGACGATAGGCCCGGACAGTAAATAGGATGTGAAGACAACACTAAGACAACTAGATAGTACTTCTTTAGAACAAGGTAGAATAACCAACTGGTGTATATTAACTTCTAAATATACTTAATTGCCAGCTGGGAAACCTAATCGGCTGGCTGCAAGGAGATATCAAAGGATAATAGTATGACGGTTTAATGTATGACATTTGCATCTCTAAAACTGATCTCCTCTGTATAAACAGACCTTATAAAGGAGATATCAAAGGATAATAGTATGATGGTTTAATGTATGACATCTGCATCTCTAAAACCGATCTCCTCTGTATAAGCAGACCTAAGGGCAAAGGCATAGAGAGATGACTTATGAAGAGACACTGGATATAATAAGTCTCCTAATCATGCAGAATTTGAAGGCAGCCACATAAGAAAGCTAAATTGTGGAGGCTTACTGAGGAGGCAAAGACCAGTCCCAGGATTGTAAAATAACATATATTATAAAATGTTATTAACATTTTGTTTTTAACAATAAAAATAATGAATATCAACTTACTTTGACTGAGCCATATCACGATCCTTCATTAATTCTGTTTTCTTCATAGCATAATTATAAGGATTAGTTTTGAATCTTGCTTTTTCATTGATAATCTAAAAATAAATCAACCATCAATAACATTGTTCAGATAATTTTAAAGTTACTAACATTACTTTTATAACTAATTCCTAGCTAATGATCAAAAAGACTTGGCCAAAATTTCAATCTTTCTTTAACAAATAATATATTAAATAAGTAAATATTTATTTTATTAACTATTGAGGACGCATGTACCAGCTGTGGAAAACACTCCATTCATGGAAAATTCAAAACAAAAAGATGTAAAAATGGAGACTTACATACCTAGGAAGCCAGTGACTATTCTTGTATGTTTATTAGAGGAACTGATATTTATTTAAGAAGCACTAACAGTAACAGATAACCTTTCTGAGAAAGTCTGGATTTTCATAGACAGTAAAGCTTCGTTCATTACCCAACATACATAATGATACCTATAACCTATACCTATAAGAGAATTAACGTAAATCTCAAAATATTACGATTTTGTGAGAAAATTCAATAAATTTAAGCCTTAAAAAAAGGGGATGCCTAAGTTTCGCTATTAACAATTTTGGGGGAGCATATTAATACTAGATTATACATTTTTTATGACATATTTTCTAGAAGGTAGGAATTTTTGAGGACACTTTCTTTGTTCCAAGTATATTTCAAACAAGGAAACAAGGGCTGAGTATGGAAAAGACCTCATCAAGAGTAATTGTTTATAAACTACCATTTTTATAATTCTAAGAGAACTTACTTTTATAAGTAAATGAGAACTTGTACTGTTTTTAAGATGAGGTAAATACACAACTTCTGGGGGAGGGGAGAGGGAGAGGGGATATGACATTGTCCATTGGGGAGATGGAAACTCTGTAGTGGAAACTCTGAAAATTTGTAGTTTGTAAGATTCTTTGAATGAAGGGTAAATATATATATATATATATATATATATATATATATATATATATATATATTTGTCAACAATATTTCAGGTGCAGGATATCCAGTAATTCAATTGAATTCAGCAATGTCTTCTAACTTTTAAATGTAATTCAAGTACACCAACTAATAGATGAACTGCCTAATTAGGTAGTTATTATAGAGAACATTACGTTATCTGCTACTGTGAAATAGAAATTTTCAAGTTTTACATATAAAATGATGTAACTATTTTAAAAACTTTGAAGGAACAACACGTACCACAAAATTATAAAATTCAGTCAACTTTAATTCTGATATAATTAGCTATCATTATACAATTAATTATTTAATTTTGATATATGCTTATATTTCCACCCCTCAATACTTCTTTTCATATCCCATTAACTGCTAACGATGGCTATAGCTGCTGCAACTGAACGTGCCACTGTTGTTAATGTTGGAGCGCCCCATTCCTACCCTCACTGCTAATGTCGGCTATAGACGTTCCACGGCTTTTCCTTCCATTTGCTAACATCGAGTATAACAGCTGCGACCTTGCTAAATTCTACTGGTTTTCCAGTGAAATAAAGCTTGTAACTAGAGCCTATAGATGGCATGGGGATTTATTTAGTAGCTTTTTTTGTAGAATTCATGATCCTTTATGAGTGACTAACCGTTCTCTGGCTGTCTCGACCATTTTCATTTTTAGTCTAGTTATTTTAGTTAGAAATTAGATCAAATAAGATTAGCTTAGTTAGTTATGTGGCCAATTAGAATTAGTTAAAAGTTAGTATTTTTGCTTCTTTATTTTCTTTAAAATGGAGAAACAGTGGTTTACTGCTGCGGAAGCAGCTGAATCATTTACAACTGCAGAAACAAATTTAAAATAATAGAAATATTCAGTGCAAAAGAGACATCGGAATTGTAAGGTTTTTCTTTGTAATGACAAATGTTTCACAGAATACAATACAAAATTAAATCATTAAATAAATATTTAAATGTATAAAATAAATAAATGCGCCATTTTTGGTCCACAGCGCAAATCAAAAAGAGAATAGAAATAAAAATCTGGTGCGCGCAACACACAACTTTTACTTACCGCTCTACTATGAATAGAAACTATTTTCTGGCAATGTTGGACACTATTATACAATTCTTTTTAGCGTATTTTAAACAGAGCTAAACCTTAGACCATAAAGATAACAAATTATTAAGAACATTACAATTACAAATGTCTATTTATTAATTCGACGGTAGGCAATAAAAATCTAGTTCCTCCATCTGCTTTTATAAACCACACAACTTCAGTTTATACTTTTATAATACTGTGAATAATGGTATAAATTCTGTCACTAGAAATATCACTAAAATTAATAATAAAGAATGTTGAAATTGGAGTTAGTCATTCTGTCTACCGAAAGGCTCATATATGTCTTGAAAGATTTTAAAGTACATCAGAATATTTAACCTATAAATGATTATCGATTGTAGGACTATTAGTTATTAAACTGTTACTTTCTATTGTAAAGTTTACTAAAATGATAGTAGAGATTTTCATTGCTTGCTATGGTTAGGCCAAAAGTTGTCACACTAATTGTAAGTGGATAATGTTGGGATTTCACAATGGGAAAATAAATCAAATTATTCACTAATTTAATTTTCTAAAAGATTACTTGATGATTTTTTGAAAAAAAAAACGATCAATAGATACCTGTTATTTAAATATAATATCATCTTTAGAGTAATTAAATTTTCACAAAATATATTTAAAGTTATAAACATATCCATGAAATATTTTTATATTACACTTCTCATTTCACACAAGTACAATGAAATAATATTTTAAACAATGGCATTGGCTTGATTCGGGGTGATTTAAACACTTTTTTGCTTTACTTAGAAAATAAAAGGACGACAGATACCTAAATATTTAAATATAATATCAGATCTATAGTTATTAAACTACAGTCAATATAATTAAGTTTATAAATGTATCTATAAAATATTTTTATATTTCACTTCTTCTTTCCCACAACTATAATGAAATAATAGTGGATACTGTTGGAATATCACAAAGGGAAGATTCATTAAATTATTCACTAATTTAATTTTCTAAAACGTTACATGACAATATTTCGGAATAAACGGATGTTGATACCTAATTATTTAAATATAATATCAGATCTATAACCATTAAACTGCAATAAATGTATTTAAGGTTATAAAAATAACGCTTTATACATCCATGAAATTATTTTATATTTTGTTTCTTCTTTCATACAAGTACAATGAAATAGTTTTTTAAACAATGACATTGCCTTGATTAAGTGGATTTTAAATACTTTTTTCAAGCTTAACAATATTTTAAACATTTACATTTAGTTGATAAATTTAATTTAATTCCCTTGAAAACATGTGATTTACGTTAAATATTATTAGTTTTCAAACATTATTAGTTATCATTTTTTTGCCACTCTACGTTACCTTCTACAACTTTCTATATTAGATATTGTTTTTTCTAAAAGTCTCCACTTTCCAATGATATATTAAAAGTATACCTTCTAGTACTTCTGGAGATTCATTATCGACCTGTATAAGCATTTTTATTTTTTTTCTCCTTTATTCAATTATCAAATTTTTTCAAGATATATTTAGCATTTTTTCATAACTTTTAATAATGAGAGATAGTTAATTATTTAAAATTAACCATATTAAAGGTACTTTAGAGGAAGACGCATATGAACATTGGGTACTTAAGCCCTGTAAAGAGACATCAACGGGGATAAGACCTAAATGATATTAAAAACCACTTAATTATACAATGATACACCGAGTTTAATCAAAATCGTTAAGCCGCTTTTGAGAAAATTGTGAAAATGTGTTTCAGCGTTGATATAAAGTGGCACTTCCGGTTAGCTGATTTTAAGGAAAAAGTTGCCGTCACATCTAAGGCATATACCTATCTTAAATACGTAATATCAGTTTCGTAGGACTTTTCGTTTTTGAGCTAGACTGCTAACATACAAACACACAGACCATTTTTCGGGACTTGGTTTTTTGGACTCAGGGGACATCAAAATGTGTATTTCCATTGAAAACTCAAATTCAAAAATTTTTCCAATCGCAATACTTACACTTACTATATATTTCATATATAGGTAAGTGAAAGTAATAAAATAAGGTTAAAAGATAGTAATATGAAACAGTAATGAAGGGTGGAAAGTAGGTAAGAAGTATTTAGCACGGGCGGGTAGACGGCTTATTTAGGTTTGTGGTAGCTGTAAAGCTCGTCACTCGCAGCAGCGAAAATGTTAACTATCTTCTTCATGACTAAAAACTATTCAATATCTAACACTAAAGCTACACTGAAAATGTTTAAAAATTTAAGGTTAATCAGCAGTTTCTTACAAATAGGAAACTAGGCCAACATCTATTATAAAATAAGTGGTACAAGTTCACAAATACTCAGTATGGATGACCCGTAGGTCAAGATCACTTTGATCAAACTAGAAAATGGAATACCGATAATAACTGAGTTTGTATGAATACAGAGGTGACCGACCATCAGAAATCTAACAATTTATGGATTCAAATAGACATAATTTTCACTTAGCACCTTCAATAGCTGTCAACTAATAAATTTTGAGATTACACATAATGTTTAGGTTATAATGCATGCCGAAGACCAAATTGAATATCGAAATGAACATAATTTTTAAGTAATAATTACGCCATGTGCTATTATTATTAAAATTATAAAATACTGGAATCAATATATTAGGGTAATAATTGAAACATCATCATCATCATCATCATCATCATCATCATCATCATCATTACATCTTAATGATGTAACAACCGAAATTAACAAATAAAATAATCAAAATATTGAAAATAAAAAATCACATTACACATTTTTTTATTGATTTTTGTATTATAATCACTTATTTCTTACCCAATCTTAAAGTGGATTTTAATTTGAATCAAAGTTTGTAAGAATTCAGACTACAACACCATTATGAAGAATTATGAAAGACCAAGAAAATATATTAATCTTTATTATAATTTAAAATTAAATATAACCTTAACTAATATAAATATTTCAACATCAAAAAATGAAAATGTAACAATCTCATGTCAAAACTATGATATTAAACAATAAAACAGAATCTAACCTAGCATTGGTGTCGTCGATCACACTCAGCTACTTCTGACATACATTAACAAAAAATCTTTTTTCGATCAGCAAGATATAAAATGTCTTTATTTTATGGTATTGTTTTGTTTACTATAGTAATCTACTAAGTAGATAGTAGAGTACATAGAAATATGTCTAGATTAAATAGCTTAAACAAGGTATAACTGATATTTACCATTTCATTCATGTAGAACATTTTGTAATGACATTATTAAATTAGTATATCACACAAACTCATGCATAAATATGCAATTAGGAAAGCAATTTTGAGATATTTACCTTCTCAATATCTTCTTCTTTGAATTCATATATCATAGCTTCTTTGATATCCTTCATTTTCGACTCCACATTGTCAAGTGTTGGGAGCTGAATATTACTTGAACCTAGTGTATCCTTCCATTTTAAAAATTCAGGCTCTGTAAACTCCTGGTTAGAAATAAACTCCAACCGAAATACACGTTCCTGATTTCCATGCCTGAAAAAAAATTTGATTATTAAAAATGAAACAGGTACAATATTACAATGGTCACTAATAAATAAAATTTATTTAACACCTTAATTTTAATCCTTTGTTGGTCCTAGTATTCCCAAGCTGATAGATCTTAGCAGTTTCCACCACTCCACTAATTTCAGCTACCTACATTATGTGGAAAGATGTAAAAACATGATAAAATGATAACTAAACTAGAAAATTTAATCTAAAAGCATATATATATCTCCATCATTGCCATAATATATATATATATATCTGAGGGCAATGTGTTATATATATAAAGAAAACATTGCCCTCAGATAAAAACTAAAAAATTACTATTTCTAAATATCAGGTATGCTTTGTCGTCGGCATAATAATTAAATAATACTATTTCTATGATTTAGTATTTATTTGACCGCACTCCCCTTCTCAGATTATGATCAATATGGAACCTCCAGGCAATCTCAAACAGGCTGTATATGTTAATACAGTGCAAGAGCTCTAACAGAATAACAGAATTATAATAACTTGAATTCTAGTTCAGAGACATAAAAATATTTTCTTTTAAATACGGTGATAGAAGAAAATATTCACTATATCTGTACAAGACCAAATTAATAAATCTCCTGATACTAACTTTGATACCATTGAAACTAAAAAGATTATACAGAGGTAAAAGGATAAACCAGGGATTATTCATAATTCAATAACTATAATTACTTACACTCTGGTTGATATAACCTTCCAACAAACATTTAAAAATTATTGATGATAATTGATAGTAAAATGATAAGCTAATTTTGTTCATTGATTGTAGTTTTTATTATTCTTATGTACCCATGAGAAATGACGAGGAAGCTCTTCTGACCTATTTGAAACACTTTTTTTTTTTTCAAATAATGGGCTAGGTTCAATATCTTATAATAATATCTTAATCTAAATTGATTGATTTATTTTATTAAAATTAAACCTCACCCTATATACAGGTTTTCCATTATGGTTTCCAATTCCGATCCTGACAAAACAACCAGTCACAACTCTTGTGAAAAAAGGTAGGTGAACAAACCTAAATAAAATAAATTTTAAGAGATATTGTCTTGATGAAGAAAAAATATAATAACTATATACAGAAATAACTAAACCACCTTTCCATTTTGTGTCTTGATAACCTGATTTTATTTAATTCTTCTTTGGTCCCAATGTATTCAACCTTCTTCTGTTTCGCTTTTGAACTGGCCACAGACCTAAGAAAAAAAAAGTGAGTTATACACAGTCAAATTTATGAACTGAAATAACTAAAGTCACACTAAATGTCACATGACAGACTTTGCAGTTAGAGGTTATATTTTTTTTAAAATTATAATTAGATAAATTGAATACAAAAAACAAATATTGCTTACAGCTTATAATATATGGTAATAAAACTGCTAATATTTAGAAAATTTAACAGTATATACTAGAACTTACAACAATAATCATCAGAAAAATGATTTTTTTTTTTTCAAGTTTTAGGAATATCTGAAAAAGTGTGAGGTTTTTCACAAAGATTGTTCAGTATATAATTAAAGTACTTTAAAATCTCTTTAAATTGAACTACGGTTAGTTCGGTTTTTCATAAAATCAAGGATTCTTCGCGATTTTTTTGATAACCTCCAATTGAACTGAAGATACACTTTCAAAAAAACTTCCTTGTTTGATGAGCTTTAAGTCTATTTTAATCAAGTTGTGATTTGTTATAGAGTAAGTTGAGATTCATCCCTTATTGCGTAAATAGATGTAAAAATATTGAGGTTCATTCCTAATTTTACCGTACTAGCGATATTTTTACTCAATTAGAGAAAATGTAAACTCAACTTAACTAATATAGCCTTAAAGATCATCAAACAAGAAAGCTTTTCTGAAAGTATGGTATCTTCAGTCCAGTTGAGAGTTTATAAAAAATATCGCAAAGAGCTCTTGATTTAATGAAAAACTGAACTTACAGTAGTATAACTGCATAAAGTCCCCTTTAAATGGTTTTGAAGTAGACAAGATTTACTAATATTTATTTTAGATTTAATCTAGTTTATTATGACGTAATTGGCTGTAACCTCAAATAAACATTTTTTTAGTCATTGCTTTTTATTCAACATAAAACGTGGTTGATTTTGACTTTATCAAAAAAATGTATAGGATCATAGCCTTTAAAGTACTTTAATTATATACTGAACAATCTTTGCAAAAAAACTCGTAGTTTTTGAGATATTCTTAAAAAACTAAAAAAAATTCATTTTTCTGTCTTTCTCTGCCTCTCCCTCCCCATCAAAACTCGACGCGGGATTCTTTGGGACTTTTTACCAGTTATTATGATTTTACCAATAATTTTATATTTTTACTTTCCCGCATAGCCATCTACAGGGAAGAACAAAGAAGAAGATTATTTCTTATAAACTTATTGATTAATATCATGTATAAATGATACTTGAATATATTTCAAGATAGTCTCGCACTTAATCTATACACCTTTGTCATTAATCATCATAAAGGAAAACAACCTATTCTCACCACAAAAACCATTCGAACCAGTGCCACTAGATTTAACGTTGCTAAGGTGAAGACACTTTAAGACTTTCAGTTATCAAAATTGTGATCTTGGCTACAAAGTAATGGGTTGGAAAACCCTTGAATACCCTCCTCACTCATTGTTAAGAGTTCGCCCCTAGTGACTATATTTTGTTCAAGATCTTGAAAGAATCACTTTAAGAAGAATAATTTAAAAGCAATAAATAAATGGAACAGCATTGAAAACATTCTCTAACTTTTTACGAATAAGGAATATCAATATCCAAAGGAAAATCAACATCTGTGCTCCTCTGAAAACCAAAACCTTATGCCGTCTCACTACACCTTGGCTGACCAGTAAGATAAAGGAAATGATGAAGGGAAGAGATGCAGCAAGGCCCAAATACCGAAGCCGTTTGCCTGTGGATTATGCATCTTTCAAGGAGCTTCGCAATGGAACACAATCCGCAGTCCGACTTGCTAAAGCCACCTACTTCCATAATGCCCTTGGTGAGAGCTAATAAGCTAAAGTTGAATGCGGAAAAGACAAAGGCAATCTTAATAGGCTCAAATCACCTCCTTAAAACTGTTCCTAATACTCCAACTGTTCCTACATGATAATCCCATCAAATTTTACCCCACCATCAAAAATCTTGGAATAACCTTTGATCAAATGCTTTTCTGGAAAAAACATGTATTCAATATTTCCCGCAGTACCATTTCCACCCTAAAACGTATAAATTATTCCCGTCACCTATTTCCCTTTGAAACCCATAGGAGGCTCCTAGTTACTTCCTTAAATTTTCCCCACTTTGACTATTGCTGACTTTGACTATGGGCGTCTCTGGGGATCTCGAGGCGAAACTAAAACATTTGATAAATTGCTTTGTACAATTCATCTTTGGGATCCCAAGGGACACCACTGCTTCTCGCTTTTATGCAGAGTTGAAGTGGCATTACCGTTCCTACCGTCGTAAGTATTTCCTGGCATCCTTCATCTTTCAAGTCATCCTATCCCACCGTCCTTCAAACATCTTCAAGCTCCTTCAATTCAAATCCTCTGTTCGTTCCCACACTACTTGTTCGCGGTCTTCTGATTTATACATAACGGTCCACCGAACCACTGTTTCAACAGATCGTTCATTATCCGATCCTCATCCCTATGGAACTCCTTCCTTTCACATATCCATCAATCCAATACCCTTTCTACCTTTAAATCCCGCCTGTTCAATCATTTCTTATCCATCCAGTCCCCATAAAATTGTAAATAGATACATACTACTGTAAATACGTATATAAATAATTAGTTTGTTCTTCATTATTTACTTCATGGTTTTTTTTTTATAATTTTAATAATAGTAATAGTATAATTTAATAGTAACTTATAATTTTTTTTATTTTTTTTACTATGACTATTCAATTACTCTGTATTTTTGTTTATGTATCTCTGAGGCTCCTTGGCCCACATTTCTGTCTTTCTGTATTATTCTAAAGGGACTTGTCCCAGAAAAAAACAAAGTATTATTATTATTATTAAATTACAACAAGAGCCCACAATGAAAAATGCTTTAAGTATGATTAGTGTAGAACTCAAATAAATAAATGTATATAAAATAATTACTATTTATATTTGATTCGTTGTCATACCATATTTTAGTGAATCTATACTTTTAAGATTCTGGATTGTATTACTCATTTCGTGAAAGAGAAATAAATAGCATTTCTTATTGTCAACCTTGTTTTTATTTCATAAAAAAGTTTGTTTTTATTAGGTAACAAAAAAATTTAAATACTTGCAGGGGTGGCCAGAAGGGGGTTGCAATAGTGCAAGTTGTGCAAACAAATATTTGTGGGGACTAATTATTTACGGTGATATGAATTTTAGGATTCATATTTTTTTTTTTTTTTTTTTTTTGTGAGGTTTCAATTGAAGAAAATTTTCAAACCAAGGAACAAAGGAAAAGACTGAAGTACAATTTTTATAATTTGCCATTGGGAGAGGCATCTCTAGCTTAGATACTCCTTATAACTTTTATGGCATATTCAAAGAATTTTTTGAACTTCTTGCATATATACCCTCCAAAAAAATTTCCAATTCTCTTAAAGTACCCACCGTACTCCTACATACAGTATTATTCATATTTATTCGGAGACATAACTTCTAACTAAAATTCAGTGAAGTCATACTTTATTTAATCGCTCCCGCATCTTTATATAAAAATTTCAATTCATTTTCAACTGTTTTCCAAAATTTCAACCGTTTTCCAAGTAAAATTTATCTTTCAAATAAAATTTTCTGGTGTTAAATTGAATAAACATAAACCATTAAAACATATTTTAAAAAAGTAAATATAAATAAAAAATAGTATTAGCCTTAAATAATAATAATAAATTAAGTGAACAAGTGATAAATAAAAATACATTACAATATTATAAGAGCAAAATAACATACCTGGCATCGGAATCAGAATCTGAAGAGCTTCTGCTGGGTGATGAGGAACGTTTACTAGGTTTACCATCGTCACTGTCGCTACCTGAGTCATCACTATAAATATCACTAGCTTTTAACTTGGTTTTTGCTTCACTAACACTCTCATCTGAGTCTTCACCATCTTTACCGGGTACTTCTTCTTCTTCACGTTTCTTTTCTTCAGCCGCCTTCTGCTGTTTTTCTTTCTCCTCTACACAAAGGGAAACAAGAAAATTATTATTTGGCCTTCAATATTAAGAAACACATGTAACTAAAAGGCATGTATATTATTTTGGTTACATCTAATATGACAAAATAAAAACTTAAGACACAAAATGATCACTCAATTTTTATTGAAATTGAGATATCAATGCTGGTGGATTAATATTTTCCATAGAACCAATATCCAACTTTTGAGCAACTAACTTTTGCCTAACTTTAGCATTTGATGATCTGCGCTTTGACATTAGTTTAACATAACAGCCCACTGGCAAAATAATCACAATCCACTTCAAAAATAACAAATTTATCGGGGAAATGAGTTACGTTAAATCTCATCAATATGATTTATATTTAAATAAGGATGTATTTATACTAAATAAATTAATTTGTGTTAAAATTAATGGGTCTTTTGCAGAGTAGCCCCACTAGTTATTTTCTAATAGTTACTGTCATTTTACGTGATTTAAGAAAACACATATCAAAAGCTTTAATTATATTTTTTTAAAAAGGTTATTAACATGGCCGGAACTCTTAGATATGTAGTAATATTGTCTTAAACAAATCTTTTACTTGGTGTCTTCTCTGCCAAACAAAGCCACATAGATATGAGTACATCTGTGCTGTTTTCTATGAGCTTCAATAGGTTTCCTTGATAACAAAAATGCTTAAGATTGCATCAATAGGGAGCTCAAAAATGAAAAACAGCCGCAGTTTATTTAACTGTTTTGAACATAATTGCGAGCAAAATACCTTATTCTTTTTTCATTTGGAAACATTAGTTACTATGTAAATCATATGTCGTTATCATAATAGAAATCCTACTCTGGCAATACTGTAACCGAAATGAATTTTTGTAACATCATTTATATTTAAACTTAAATTTTTAGTAATTTGGTTGATTTGATTTATAAAAAAGACTGATCATAATTAACAATAAACTTATCTAATTTTTGTTGATTTCTAAAACATGAAACAGGAAAAATTTAATTTAAAATATTTGAAAGAGGATAATGATTATAATTTAGACTCACGAATTTGATGGCCAAGACTTTTTTAGACCATTTTGGTACAAACCAAATTAAATTATAGATTTATTGACAATTTTGGATTTGAAATTTAACTAATCCAATTTGTTTATAATCTTGGAAGCACCCAAACAACATATTTTGAGAGTTCAGCAGTGGGTCATTCGACAAAATAATCGAAAGATACAAGTTTTATATAAATAAGTATGATTAGCTATTTAAAACTTCATTTGTTTTATTAAATAAAATATTTAGTTTCATTCAAACCATTGATTCATTAAAATAATGATTCAAAAACTCCTAAAAATTAAATAATTAAAACTGAAGATTGAAGTACTCAAAATCACTATTAAACAAAATTAATTTGATTGAAAATTCTTCATTTGTTTCTTTGACCATTCACTGTAACTTACATATTTTAAAAATCATTTTTAACAATAATTATTTATTTTTACAGACATGAGTATTGGACAATAAATCTTAACATCTGAATAAATCTTTTTGTTTTGAAATAAAAATTTAAAATGTTTATTCATGCCTGAATTATTTTGTTCATTATTATTAATTAAGAATGTCTTATTAATAATTATGGGAATAAATTTGATGATAAATATTAGTTTAGACAATAATTTAAAATTTATCATAAAGGTTCTTAATTACTTAAGAACTAAAGAGTGATTAGCAATCCTTCAATTTCCTTCTGATAAAAGCAAGAGAGAAGTCGCTTAGGAGGAAGGTAATTTGATTAGCATAAATGAAAAAAGAATATATAATTAGGAGTACAAATTGATTTATTCTGAATATTAAAACATAATTTAGAAAGAAAAAAACAATCAAATGAAAAACTGTTCAATTTCTTGTAATATTTAATATGTTAATTTATTCATAAAAAATGTTATTTTTTATTCTTTAATAAAGTTGGTATTATCATTTTTTTTTTTTAGTAAATTGTGATCAACTATATTTTACATCAAAAGATATATGACAAATGTGACTTGACTTTAAATGTCTGAGAATTTACAAATATACCATCACTCAACAAACAATTAAATAAAAAAATCAAATGAAACATTATACACAAAAATAAAGAATAATGTCAGCTGTTATTATCCTTCACTTTGCCTAATTTATAGAATAGGATCAGCCAACATAGCCAAAACAAAGTTAAAAAAGAAAATTCATTTTAAAAATAAATAATTAATCAAATTTTTAAGCTTACGTTCATGAAAATTAGTCAGTATTAACATTATTTCAATTTTTACAAATACTAATGAGTTTACTAAATGCAAAACAAAACCTATTTACCACTGAAGAAAAAAAAATCACTATCACACTAAATCACATGTTATATAATATTTAAATTAAAGAGGTAAAAACACTTAACCAATTGTTTAAGTTTAGTTTTTCCTTTGTCAAAAAATATTAAAAAAACAAAACAAAATTTGACTAATAAAATTTAATTCAGATTTAAAGTAAAATTGTTACATTTTCAACAAATGATTATTTTTCAATGCAAAAGTATTTTAAAAAAAATTTAAGTTATTTGTTGAACATATGGTTCTGATTATTACTTTATTATTAGCACATTCAAACTAATTTCTGAAAAAAGAGAAACACCTGATTAATAAATTATTAATCCAGAACAGAAAAGAAAAAAAACTAATAACATAGGCGTATCAAATCAACAAATACAATTTAGCATGAGAAATAAATCATGGTACTTTAAATTCCAGGCATGAATAAATTGATGTTCGTGGTTAAAAGGTATAGGACCGAAATGAATAACAATGTTATATATTATTTAAAAGGATGATATAAAAAAAACAATTATTTAAAAATTAAATTTAAACTTCAGCAAAAAAATCTAAAACAGAACAAACTAAAATAAAATCCAAATTTAGAACATAGAATATTTGGTTGATCTAATAAAAGTATTGATCAAAGATGAGAAAATATTTTATAGCTTAATTAAAATATTCACAGTAACCTCTCAATGTGAGTTTTACTTCCTTAAGTTTTTATTAAAAGCTCATTTCAAAATGTAGGATTTCACATTCACAAATTGTATATTTGATAGTTTGTAGATAAAAAAATCAAAAAATTAAAAAAATATATCAAAAGTTAAAACAATTGCAAGTATAGTACATATTTACATAAAAAACATAAATAGTTACTTTATTAGGTATGTTTGCACTCGTAAAATGAACAGAACAAAAATCCATTAAATAACTCAGTTTTTGTTTGTTGTTAACAGATTAACATTTCAGCCAGAACAAAACTAATTCAAAGATTTTTTTTAAACAAATTATTTTTTTGTCTTTGTTGGCCATTTTAAAATGTAATACTTTATTCCTTAATTATACAGGAAGAGACTCAACATATAACGATCCGAGATTTGCATACGATTTTCTTATTCCACAACCCTCACGAATATTAGAGAAGTTACAACACTTGATTAACATTTTAAGAAATATGATATCATTAAGATATGAATAAAATGTTTTTCTTTTTATTTAGTTCATAGAAATTCTCAGTGATTCTTAAAAACATAACATAAAATCCCAGTGATTTTAACAACCACTTGTTATTAAACACAATGATTTTGGTATATTGAGAAACTAGGACATTTTTTTTCATTAAGAATTAGGGCTATAAAATATGAAATTGAATGACTTCCTACAGTTTTTTGAAAATAATCATCCTTGGAGATTCTCTCAGTGGAACTGTATTCTGTAGTATGAGATTCCTACGATTGTTCAGACTAATTTTAAACTAACAATTACTTAATCAAAGATTCTCATAAATAAATCAAATTTGTTATTTTACTCTTTTGTTAACCCAATATACCATTAATTAAAACAATCTTAACTATTCAGCAGGTGCTGTTTCAATTTAGCCGTACAATATGAGACTCTAAAAAATAATATTAGTTTTGCACTTAAAAAAATTATATAGATTTGAAGGGAGCAAATAGTGACCACTTATTTTTTAAGTATTCCATTTTTTTTTTTGTTAATTGAATTTTAAATAAAATTTGAACAAAAAGAGCGGATTATCTTTCAGGTTAACAACTTATTCAAGCCTGATTGTCAAAACTGGTTTAGTATCGAGTTCTTCAAGAAACGAAAGTCAATATATGGCTCCATGATCTACTTTTATTGACCTCAAAACTTAAAATAAGGTTTAAAGATGTTGATGATCATACTAATGGCATTGCTACCTCCAATGAACTCTACCCATCGAAACCCAAATCCACAGACTCACACCTGATAAAACACCCCCACTCCCTCCATACAGCAGGAAGACACAACCCTGTTCCTGCGGATACCATGGGGCAGAGTTAGAACAAGAATTTTTGCCAGAAGGAGCAATTTAATTTTGTAGCTCCCTTTTTTTTTTTTTTACCACTCCCTGCTCCATAAAAGTCAACAGTTTTGTAACTGTATTTTAGGCAATATATTTCAACAAATACCTTCATTGCATAATATTATTCACTGAATTAAGATCAAAACATCAAATAAGCAGATTAAAATTGTATTTTATGAATCATATATTATTTATTCATTTAAATAACATTTCAACATTAACAACTTAAGTATATTTTTAGTAGAAATAATATATCTTATTAATAATAAGTACACAACTGAGCAATGATAAGAGAGGCTATATACTGGTATACTAGGGAAATGTATGCAATTTTAAACGCTTAATGTGCTATCATGCTTAGCAGTCAGCACAAATTTTGAAAAATGGTAAATAGATAATCTGTCTGTGCTAACGTGTGAAAGAACGTGAGAAAGTGGTATTAGTTATAGTAAGGCATCTAGGCACGTCTATACTGTAAACAAAGTTTGTGAGTTCTTAATTGATCTATTAACATTTGATTTATTTTTAAAATAAAAAAGCGAAATGGAAAGAATGAGTTGCTGGATTATTTGGTTAAAAGTGTTTTATTAGAAAGAAT